TAAGTCTCACAACACAACGTTACGCAATGTTTGAAAGTAATGTAATGCTGTATAGTTTACGGGTGACATCTGGGGCGTTACACTATGATTCTGATATACATATTTTAGGAATAAAAAATTACTTAGCCCTTAAGAACATAATATTTTTGTTTCCGTCGTGCATCCCTGTTTAATAGGGTGTATGCCTAATTTTACTTTATTTTATATCCGGTTATATTTCCATACCTCGTCCAATTTAGTTCTGATAAATTTCATTGTAAGTTCTTAGACAGTTTAACTTTTCCTGGTACTTCCCGAGTGTTGATCGTACAGGAGTTAAAGTGGTAGGCTTTTGGATTGATTCATCTCATTTAAAAATGTTAGACAATACTTATAAAATGTTTGGTCTCTGTAATTCATGAATATAATACAATTTAGTCAAATTAGGGTTTAACCATGGAAAGCGAGATAAGAAGCTAGTACACGCCTTTATTTTAGTGTTATACTCGTAAAAGTTGGTTCAATAGTCTTCATAAAATTTAACATCTCGCATTCAAGAGCTCTAACGATATTGACATATTACAAAATTATAGAGCATAAAATTCTCAACTAATTTTGTTTCATAAAATTATCTACACATTTTAGCTCTATTGTGGTTTCGTTCTATGACATAAGTGCATCTGTTTTTATGACACAGAGGTTGCCGCGAGCGAGACATAGCGATTTCGTGGTACATTCTCTCCGTGCTATTTTTATTTCAACTTGTAGCCCGTCTGTAAGATAAATAAACATTACTTTCCACAAGAAATTTATGTTTTTAACTTAGTTTTTTTTGCTGTTAAAAATATTAAATTAATGTTATAACTTAGAATTACAGTTACTACTCAAATTTTATACAAGTTATATTTCAAAACTAGAAAGTAAGAACTTATTTGAATCTTTACCCATTACTGATTTATTACATGTTGTGTTTTATTTTGAAAGGCACAGTAAGTTATAAATATTAAATTCGAGGGCGAAGGTAACACTTGAAACAAATTATACAAGTTTTTTTGGCATACTTCAAATTTGTTTTCGCCTAATTTGTTTAAGTAATGAGAACATTTCTTCTCACTTTTTTAACTCCTTCCATTACCCGATCTCTAAAGACTATTTCTCATAATTCTTTATACTAGAAGGGTCAACAATAAATTATTTTCATTGCTAATAACTTTATGTCTATTTTTCAGGTTGTATTCACATTTCATAATTTTCGTAACTTAGGATCGTGTGAGTTTTATCTTAAAAATAAATGAGTAATGATGGGTATACAAGAAAAGCTAACTCATACCTAATAAGACCGCATGCCGTCAATTTGACGCCACTTTAAATAGTGTGAATTATCGAACACAAAAGTTTTTTTTGTAACATCTTTTCGAAACTTTTATTTATATGTTGTATTTGTTGACATGATTTATCGTTTGAACTGATTCTTCGAATAGTCGGTTTGTTACAGGTTCAAAAAACATGTTTTTCGATCCTGGGTGGAATTTAATGAAATCTGGCAGCAACTGAAGGTCATTGCCCCCATAATGACATATTAAAAAAGTTAGAATGAGCGAGGTCGGGCAGACACCTTTTTATTGCAAAATAACTTTGAAAACCGTTTTTTTTTCAGTCATTTCGCAATATCTTGGATTTTTAAAACCGAAAAACAAAAAGATAATAAAAATGGGAGAAAAAATCGTTTTTCATTGTTGATATTTGTGTATTAGATAGGTAACAAAATGGTTAGTATTGTTAACAAAATGCACCCGGTCCGTTTTTTTCAAATAAGAAATTTGGCGACCTATAGCTAAATTGTTACTTTGAAAGTTTAGAACGCTGTAAATCCCGTCGCCGACAATGGATCTCGATGAAACCAATTGGAATCAGTAGGTACATTAACATTAAGTAAGTAAGTAAGTAAATTTTCAATTTTTTTTAACAAATCATTGTATTGTTTTCAACCAAAAACCACTTTCCTTGACTTTTTTTTAAATTTATTTTTTGGGTTCTTGTTTCATTCCCAACCTCATCCATTCAAACTTTTTTAATGGATCCTTACGTGGGAAATGACCTTCAGTTTTCGACAGATTTCATTAAATTCCATCCAAGATCGAAATGAAAACCTTTGACACCTTTGACTAGAAGTAAATTATTGTGCGTTACATTATAAAATGAGTTCGGATCGACTGTCGACTATGGAAATAGAATGGGAGTTTTGAGTATAGTAAAGAAGATAGTAAAGAAGATCTTAGGTGATAAAAGTGACAATAAATTATCAGTAGAGCTTTGCGAAAACGTTGAAGGGGCCTTCAGCCAGAACAAGAAAGTTCAACAGCTTAGTATTCTGAAACTGATACTCTACCCAGAAGTCATATTGACCCTGAAATGATGAAACCAACGCGGAACCTGACCGAAAAACACAGCATTCTGGAAGTACAATCCGTGGTGAGTGGCTGGTTAGAACATCGTCATGTCAGACGTAGATATAAGACAAGTAGCTAGTGATGGTTCTGTATGGACGTGTATTAACAGCCAGTAGTAGTTCACTGCTGGACATAGGCCGCTCCTTAGAAAGGAGGTTTTGGCCTACTAAGCCGGACAAGACAGGTTATAAGAGTTACAGCTGGAAGCTCTTCGTCACCCACCGTACTGACCTGACCTTGCTCTAACAGTACTCGGAGTACTTTATTCAAAATTTAGACATTTTTTTTAGTGAGAAAATATTCAAAAACCGAGAGGCAGTACATGGCAAAATGTTAAAGATAATTTGGGCCAGTACTTTGATTAGCTGAAAATAAAAAAGTAACCAAAACCTTAAAAAAAATAGTAGAAAAATCTCACCCCTTAAAGTGGAAAATTAGGCATTAAAGAAAACAGTTTATAATAATTTATTATGGCGTAAGGGCATTGAATCCAGTGCTTAATTACAGTTACTGTATTTAAAAAAAATATATCCTTATCATATGATCTGTTTTTCAACTAGAAAAAATCAAAAGGAAAGCAGGCATTATTGCTTCAACAAACCTAAACAGTCTGCAAACAGTTTAAGGCAAAGTGGAGCGACTGTCTATCAATATGATGGTTCTACTCGTATGTTCAATACAATTTTGTATAGTATTTTTGACGAAACTAAAAAATATTAATAAAACCTTCTTTCAAACTACCAAACAATATCATCCTTGTTCAATATCAGCCAGTTCTAAACTATTACTTTTCAAATTTTCATTTATTTACATGGATTCTTTAGACTCAAATTTATTTGCCACTCTTAACAAAGCTTCGTTACTTTTATCGAATTATTATTTTTAAAGTCGTAATAGCATATCCTATTCGTAATTTTTATAACAGTATTTTTGCCTCTTTCATCCTTAATTGATTAGATATAGAAGCAACGCAAAATAGGTAAGCCTTAAAATAGAATGTTGTGACGTCAAACTAATCAAATGATGTTTATCTAAGCCTACTATTTTAGGCACGGAGAGTTTATTAAAAAAATATATATTGTAAACGAGCAGACGGGTAAGCTGATAGTGTCGATTTAAATTTTGTCTTAGAGTAATTTGTTTTAGCCTCTTAAATAAGTTTTTTTTTTCTATTTGAAGGGCAGTTATTCCTTGGCTTAATTTTGTACGTTTGACAATGTCAAATACTGGATTATTTTACGTCAATAAATATTAACTTTCCATGAACGATATCACGGTTCTCGGGCTCAAAATATTTGTTATCAAATTCATTAACTTACACATTTTTTAGTTGATTGATTGGTTGTAAAGGCTTAAACGCGTGAAAACACTCTTTCGCGTATATATATAAAATCTTAATATATATAAATCTCGTGTCACAATGTTTGTCCTCAATGGACTCCTAAACCACTTAACCGATTATAATAAAATTCGCACACCATGTGTAGTTCGATCCAACTTGAGAGATAGGATAGTTTAAATCTCAAATTATAGTCGCAATTTTAATTTATTGCTAATTATTTGTCTGTTATTATTTGACAGTCACAATTATCTGTTAACTCCAAATGCTTCTAACAGATGTCGATACCTTTCGACTGGGTTGAGTAAGTAATCAATAGATGGCGCTGCTATGGTAAATCTACGAACGTGTCATATAAGCTACATTTTAACAGCATAATTACCACGTGTTGTTGACGCTATAAAATTAATTAAATTTATTTGGTAGTGAACGAAATACCGTATAATTCAATTATTTCCACTTTTAAAATTTTTGGTGTATGTCAATACCTTTCGACTGGGTTGAGTAAGTAATCAATAGATGGCGCTGCTATGGTAAATCTACGAACGTGTCATATAAGCTACATTTTAACAGCATAATTACCACGCGTTGTTGACGCTATAAAATTAATTAAATTTATTTTGTAGTGAACGAAATACCGTATAATTCAATTATTTCCACTTTTTAAATTTTTGGTGTTTGTCGATACCTTTTGAGTGGGTTGAGTAAGTAATCAATAGATGGCGCTGCTATGGTAAAACAAAGAAAGTGTCATATAATCTACATTTTAACAGCATAATTACCACGTGTTGTTGACGCTATAAAATTAATTAAATTTATTTTGTAGTGAACGAAATACCGTATAATTCAATTATTTCCACTTTTTAAATTTATGGTGTTAGCATAGCCGGCCACGTGTTACTTAGACTGAAGTGTAAATTGAATTCATATTATAAAAGAACAAGAGCAGCAGGAGAACGAGACATAGCCACAGTAGGAGCACAGGAACAATAATTTCAATTTATACATGTAAGTAATATAACATAGTTTTATAAAAGTAAATTAATATATCAATGAGAAAATGGCACAAAGCTCCCCACACTTTTTCAATAATTGTACAATTTTTTTTATATTATTTTTATTTAACCTCCATTGAAAATTATTTTGCACTTATTATTTCAATGTGCTATGATAACATGTTTTTCAGTTCCTCTTTCTAATATTTAAACAATTAAATTATTATTTTTAGTCAAATGCCACCGAAAAAATCTAACCTCAACAACGCGAGCAGCAATGGGTCACGACGCAAACGTGTTGAAAGAGCTCAGCAATTACCAGAACAAATCGAAACAAGAAATGCAGCTCAAAGAATCAGGACTGCAGAAAGTCGTGCACAAGAATCTCAAGAACAGCGTGACGAACGTCTGCAACAGAATATTACGAGAACAAGAGCGGCACGAGAACGAAACATAGCTACAGTACGAGTACTAGATCGACAAAGGCAACGGATCAGCCGCTCATTAACACGTGCATCATTCGTTCGGCTTGCCTTTGAATATGCACCAGATATTAACTACTCAGCGCATTCAAAAATTGCTATCGGTGGAATGGATAAAGTATGTCAATATTGTCAGGCATTGAAATTTCGGAATGAAGCAGCCGGCATGTGCTGCGCATCAGGAAAAGTTGTGCTGTCACCTCTACCCGCTCCGCCGGAGCCTTTATTATCCCTTCTTACTGGCAATTCAGATGATTCCAAATTATTTTTGCGTAAGATACGCAAATTTAATTCTTGCTTCCAAATGACGTCATTTGGGGCAACTAAAATTTGCGATCGTGCATCCGATGGACGTAATTTTGAAACTACATTCAAAATTCAAGGCCAGGTGTACCATAAAATCGGATCACTGATGCCAATGCCTGATAACAATCCGAAATTTCTTCAAATTTATTTTATGGGCGATTGTGAAGAGCGCGTGACGACTCGGTGCCTGTATAATTTTATTGAACAAGCAGAGGAAAGAGCAATTGTGATATTATTGGAAAATTTTTTGGAAGATCACAATCAACTAATTCAATTGATCAAAAGAGTTTCGCCACGACTGCAAAATGACAATTATCAAATCGTCATAAAAGCCGACAAAGTACCATTAGGTGAACATGCTGGTAGATTCAACGCTCCAACTGTTGATGAGGTTGCTGTTATCATGGTTGGTGATCCAGTTGACAAAAGATCTATAAAAATTACACGGCGAGACAACACTGTCAGTATGATTTCGGATCTACACCGTTCATATGACGCACTACAATATCCATTGATATTTTGGCAAGGACAAGATGAATATCACCTTAATATCAAACAGTATGATCCAAATACCGGTAAATTTGACAATTATCTATTTACTTTCTTACTGTATGTTTAGATTTTAATTTCGTATTGCATTTTATTTTTTATTTTTTTAGGTGATTACAGAAATAATAAAGTTAGCTCAATGAACTACTACGCACACCGAATAATGGTTAGACAACATCAAGACAATTATATCCTTCGATATCGTCAGCTGTTCCATCAATACATTGTTGATATGTATGCTAAGGTCGAAAGCGAACGCTTGCGATTCCTTCGATTCAATCAGGCAAAACTACGATCGGAAGAATATATTCACTTACGAGATGCTGTTGCTGGAAACATCGATGGAAATTTAAATCCCAATGACATCGGTAATGCTTTCATTTTACCTTCAAGCTACATCGGCAGTCCACGGAACATGCAGGAATACATACAAGATGCGATGACTTACGTACGTCATTACGGCCGACCGGATTTATTTATTACATTCACATGTAATCCGAATTGGGAAGAGATACAAACTTTACTATTGCCAGGACAACAAGCCATTCATCGTCATGATTTAACTGCACGTGTGTTTAAACAAAAATTGAAATCCTTAATTGATTTTATTGTTAAATATTCAATTTTTGGTATCACACGTTGTTGGCTGTATACGATAGAGTGGCAAAAGCGAGGTTTGCCTCATGCCCACATTTTGGTTTGGCTTAAAGATAGAATCCGTCCTGAAGAAATCGATCAAATAATTTCAGCCGAAATTCCAGACCCATTAATTGATCAAGAATTATTTGATATTGTCACCAAACACATGATCCATGGGCCATGCGGTGCTTTCAACATGACGTCACCGTGCATGGAAAATGGAAAATGTAAAAAAAAGTTCCCAAAGCCGCATACGAATGACACGATCACGGATATTGATGGTTATCCAATGTATCGCCGCAGAAGTACTGAGAATGGTGGCCACACATTTACAATGCGACTGCCGAACTTTCCAAATCAAGTTGAGTTTGATAATCAGTGGGTGGTACCATACTCACCACTACTTTCAAAAACTTACAAAGCTCATATCAATGTTGAGCTTTGCAGTTCTGTTAAATCAATTAAGTATATTTGTAAATATGTGAACAAAGGCAGTGATTTGGCCATATTTGAAGTACAAAACATAAATAAAAATGACGAAATAGCACGATACCAAATGGGCAGATACATTAGCAGCAATGAAGCTATTTGGCATATTCTCAGCTTTCCCATCCACGAAAGAGATCCTGCTGTCCAACATCTGGCAATACATCTTGAAAACGGTCAACGTGTATACTTCACTGAAGAAAATGTTCTCCAAAGAGCGTTCGAAGCTCCGAAAACGACTCTAACTGAATTTTTTACATTGTGTCAAAAACCTGATGTTTTTGGCCAATTCGCGAAGACATTGGTGTATGGTGATGTTCCACGTTATTTCACATGGAACAAATCCAGTAAAAAATGGGAGCCACGGAAACAAGGAAAACCACATCCTTCCATTACAGGCATATTCAAAGCTAAGACATTGGGGAGACTTTACACGGTACATCCAAAGCAACGTGAGTGCTTCTATTTACGTTTGTTATTGGTGAATGTTCCCGGACCAACGTCTTTTGAATTTTTACGAACAGTTAATGGTCGAGTATTCAATACATACCAGGATGCATGTCGTGAACTGCAATTGCTAGAAGACGATAACCATTGGGACTTAACGCTTGCTGATGCTGCGTTGACATCAACACCGAATAACATTCGTCAGTTGTTTGCAATTATTTTGACGACATGTTATCCCTCGCAAGCACAATCTTTGTGGGAAAAATATAAAAATTGTATGACAGAAGACATCTTGCACCGAATTAGACAAACAAATCAATGCCAAAACATAGATTATACACCAGAGATGTACAATGAAACATTGGTCTTGATCGAGGATTTATGTGTTCTTATTTCAAATTTACCACTTAATCATTATGGTATGCCATCACCTAATCGTCCAGCCACCGACTTAGTCAATACCGATTTACAACGAGAAAATCAATATGACCATGGAAGTTTAGCAACAATTATCATGAACAGTGAACCATTACTGACAGCAGAACAAAAAATTATTTATGATCGGATTATGCTGGCTGTTGCTGCTGAACAAGGCGGTTTTTTTTTCTTGGATGCACCCGGTGGAACCGGTAAGACATTTTTAATATCGTTGATTCTTGCCAAAATACGGTCGCAACAAAAAATCGCATTAGCAGTAGCATCGTCAGGCATTGCGGCTACTTTACTGGATGGTGGGCGAACAGCACATTCAACATTCAAGCTGCCATTGGACGTTCATAATAAACCAGATGCAATATGTAACATCAAAAAGAATAGTGGAATAGCTGCAGTGTTGCGGAAGAGTTCTATAATAATTTGGGATGAGTGCACAATGGCACACAAATATTCACTTGAAGCATTAAACAGAACTATGCAAGATTTGAACAGCAATAATAAACTTTTCGGTGGTGCTATCTTACTTTTGTCTGGTGACTTCCGGCAGACCTTACCGGTTATACCTCGCTCTACTTTCGCGGATGAGATTAATGCATGTTTGAAACAATCATTCTTATGGCGAAGTGTTGAAATACTTCGATTGACCATAAATATGCGAGTACAATTGCAAAATGATCCATCAGCACAAATATTTTCCGAACAACTACTAGATATTGGGAACGGTAAAATAGAACTGCAACCAAATACGCAATGCATTAAACTACCAGACAATTTTTGCACTGTTGTTCAGGATAAAAATGAATTGATTCAGAGTATTTTCCCGGATATACAGAATAATTATTTGAATCATGAATGGCTTAGTCAACGGGCGATTTTGGCAGCCAAAAACGTTGATGTTGACGAAATTAACTTCCAGATACAACAGTTGTTACCAGGCGATCTGATGTCTTTTAAATCAATCGATACTGTTGTTGATGAAAATGAAAGTGTAAATTTTCCGATTGAATTTTTAAATTCATTAGATATCCCTGGAATGCCACCACATAATCTTCGATTAAAGATTGGTTCCCCTATTATTCTCCTCCGTAATTTGAATCCACCTCAATTATGTAACGGTACGCGTTTGGTCATCAAAAAGATCACCGGAAACATTCTTGAAACAACCATTTTGGCTGGGAAGTTTAAAGGAAAAGTGGTCCTGCTGCCACGTATTCCGATGATACCATCAGATTCTACCATACCCTTCAAAAGGCTACAGTTTCCAATTCGTTTAGCTTTCGCCATGTCTATAAATAAATCTCAAGGTCAAACAATGTCCATTTGTGGTTTAGATTTGGAAAATCCATGTTTTTCTCATGGGCAACTATATGTTGCGTGTTCACGTGTTGGGAAACCGTCGAATCTATTTGTGTTAGCTAAAGACAGGTTAACCAAAAACATTGTGCACCGATTGGTGTTACATTAAATTGAAATTGAAAGTATTTATAATTCAAAAAAATAGATATTAATGTTTAAAAGTTTAAGACTGTCTGCCTTGCCTACCTCATTCATGAGTTTAAGCGTTACATGTTATTTACTGTATTATACTGTAATATACTTATATTTGTTATAAAATTAAATGGAAATAATAAATCTGATAAATTTTTATTTTGTACCTATTGATTTCTGCTTAATATCAAGTGTAAGAACATTTTAATTAATTGTGTTCAATGTACTTCCCCTTCAAATCACAATCCAGTGAATTTGTATACCAACATCAACATTTTCGTCTTTGTTCGTAAATAATTTCATTGTACTAAAGGGTTATAGTAGTAGAAAGTCAAATAAGGAGATCACCATATTTTTTTACAAATACCATCTGTGTGAAAAAGCATAGTGGACTCCGTGACTGACGTTCTCTTATTGTTCCTCTTAGATTGTTTACTATAATGTAATATAACAAAAACTTTAGCCACAGCAACGCGTGGCCGGGTCAGCTAGTAATATATATATATATAAATATAATATATATATATACATATATATATATATATATATTATTTTTTAGTTCCGTAATTAGATTAGCATATTAGTCATTGTCCGTGTAGTGACGGATTAGTGATACGGAATGTCACTACCCCAATTCATCTCGATCACGAGATGTATTGGGGTATTCCTTCTCTTTTCATCAGAAAAGAGAAAGAAAACTTGACACAAACCCTATACCAACACGTCTGGCCAGCGTGGTATAGTAGGCCAAAACCTCCTTTTTAAGGAGAGGCCTATGTCCAGCAGTTTACTATTAAAGGCTGTTGATGTGATGATGTGTCATAATATACTGTAAAATAATTTGATACACCATCTATTCCCGCGTGTTATCTCTCGCAATAGTAAAGTTTATTTCGCATTATAAACTTGTTAAATGGAAAACCCGCGATACTGCTGGGTTTTTCTAAATATGCTTTAATTGTGACAATTGCTTATGGGTGATGTTAAAGGTGAAGAGGAATCAACTACGTAGTTGTTAAAGATTTACTGACATATAGACCATATACGGTGTTTACCTGTAAGTAATTGTTACATTGTTAATTGATTTTCTTTAGCATGTGTATATTACAAGTTTTGATGTAAATAATGGTGGCAAACCTTAATAAAAAGGTGAAACCATAGTAAGGTCTTACATATCTATCTATAGTGTGTTTTTTTTCAATCTTAGATGAATGTTATCATAATTATCTAATCTAACAAAGTATAGTTTCCATTCCTCTAGTCTATTTACTACTCCTCTTGAAACATTTTAGTTTTTATTGTTTACAATAATTAAACATAAAGTCATAAGAATTAGATATTCTTTAATAAACTTTTTGTATATATAAGTAAATATACTATGATAACTACCAGTTTATAATGATTCCAGTCCATTCTAGGGTTGCCTAGAGAAGGTTCCCCGAGTAGCGACCATGAGATCAAAAACGTCCGTCAGGGAGACCACAGATGCGTTGGGATGACGATATCAAGAGGATAGTAGGAAGAAAGTGACTCCAGATCGCACAGGATCGCGGTGAGTGGTGTACGTTGCAAGAGACCTACATCCGAAGGATCGAGACAGGCTGAAGAGTGAGAGAGAGAGAGAGAGAGAGAGAGAGAAAATTGGAATGTAACCGCCAGTATAGTCAGTAATAGTACTTATGCATAGTAAACTTTGTATAAATATAGTGAACGGGGTCTAGTAAATCTAGATACTGAACGATTCCCTGAATAGAATCCACTTAATTAGTTCCCGTGGAGGAAATGCGCCATCTACGAGTCCATTGTTCGTTTGCTCCCGTGATTTTTGCCCGGAGCATTCCACGGTAGTGTTCACATATATTCGAATTGTAATTTCAGGATACAATTAACTATTAATTCAAAACAGTTTTCATTTTTTAAGGTCAAAATATTGGTGTCCATTGAAAATATTTAAAATTAATTTTCAAAATCAATATTTGTAATTGAACTAAAGTACATATATACTATAGTAATTTTACTATATAAGTAAACTCACCAAAACACTTAACCAATTTTAACATACTATTGACTATTTACAACTAGCGTTAAAAAAATCCTTGGTCTTTACTGGCAGCATTGCCACGTTGAATGACAATACTAATTTTATTTGTGCCAGAAAAAGGGTCATATCTTGGTCGCAGGTACTGTGGATCGGCTGCTTGGCTAGTTCTTTATAAGTTAATTATATTTGGAACTTATTTTTAGTAATATATCTAATGTTCTGCGTACACCCATTGCAGTTTGCTGTATTTTAGAGGATTATGTTATGAAACAATTAGCAATAGCCGAACGTCTGCAGGATCCTAGTAAAACTAATAGACCTTTAGTCTGGCAATATATTCGGCATCTACATTTTGAGAAGCGAACAAGAGAAAGCTAAAAATAAGAATGGTTGCATATCAAGGAAATTTTAAGGGTCCTCGCATCCATCCAATACTTATAAGTGTATGTAAAGGGGACTTGTCCAAATATATTACAGGTATATCATGGTCCCTCTTCACTTGCGCCAGGTGCGGGTAGACAAAAGACACATTTAGGTTCATTTGTGCGCTCTGGATAACTAAAGCAAAAAACCGGGTAATTCTAGACGTAATAACGTATTGTTTTAGTTTATAACCTAATACAACGATAGATAGAACTGTGTATTCGAGGATAATTGATATTATTAGATATAGGTCGGTAACTCGTGGAGAAAAAACTAAGGCCGTCTAATCTATAGATAAAGAAGTGGGATCTGAGTGAATCTCAAACAAAACATTTTTTGAGTTTATGAATATGCTTTGCGTAATCATTAATTTTCTAAAGTTAATGAGTATATTTTGGATATACATACATATTATGTATAAACTTAAATATTTAATATTTTTATTAACTGATTTAAAAAACGGGGAGGTATTCAACAAGTGCATATGTATGTTACACGATATCTTAGAGATTTGCTAACAGATTTTGGTAACTCTTTTTAACACGCTTTTATCAGCTTTATATGTACCTATGTAATGGAATCTTCGAACGTGATTTTAACCCTCTTTAAAACATCGAATTTAATTGGAACTTCGCACACTTACCAAGGACAAGGACAATACAATAATTTGATAAACGGGGGATTATCCTGCCAGGATCTTCAGGATTAACAGTCATTTTGTGTATTTTGCTACATGCTATGAGTCGTGTGCTGAAGCATATGTGTTTTACTTACTTTAGTCCTAAAAGAAATAGAAAAATAGTCTCAATAAAAAAGTAATCATCATTAATGACTAAAAAAGTAAAAATAAATTTTAGTTTAAAAAACTAAAAAACACGCTTTTGCAAGTAACCAAACTAAAAATAAGATAATAATTTTATACAACTTTAAAGAATTAAAATATTTTTTTCTTTTTAGTTTAACTAGTTACAAAAGCGCGTTTCTTAGTTTTTTAAACCATAATTTGTTTAAGTTAGGTTACTTAAGTTTTAATAAAGTCCGCTTTTAATCGCCAAAACAAAAGTGACAAAAAAAAAACAAATATTTAAGATTAAATACGCGCATTGAAGTCGGTCTCTTTTAAAAATTTAATTGTTCTAGACATAAAAATTGAGCTGATTTCTTAAAGTATTTTTTTAATCATAAATACAAACATGTGTATTCCGTTTACCATATACTTCGCCTAGTTTACTCTTTTATAATTTTCATACTAGCAACCATATACAATGAGCTGACAACGAAAACGCGAAATTCGTAACATATAACATCTAGATTCATTTTTAGCGTTCTTGTACTGATTCTATCTATGTACCAAGTTGAAATTTTTGACTTATAAATGCCGAAAGTATAAACTGGATGTAGAGGCATCGGAATGCAACAAAATAATTATCTAACTAAGATATAGAACTACGTAATTACCATTGATCCTGCTTTGTTCAGTGACAGTCCTAGCATTGCTTAGTAGAACAAATAACGGTGAGCCTTTGCCGTCATATCTGTAATATGTAGCAGGGATTAACGAAAATATTATTCAAAAAATATTATTTATTACCTAGCTTGATTCTGCGGCAAAATTTCTAGATTTCTTGCAGTTTTGTTACCTCTCAGATTAAATAATTTAAAAAAATCTTAAAGTTAAAATTCTATACAAACATAAAGAGCGTACTTGTTCGACGTTTATAATTGGGAAAACATTGCTGGAGGGTATTTCTAACATCAATAATAAGATTTTTTAGACCTTTTTAAATCTGGTTTATTTTTCTTCTTGATACACAAGCGAACCTTTTACATACATAATAAAAACGTAAACCCCTTGTGCCTGTACATTAAAGATAGAGAAATGCTTGTAACCATGATCTAAAAAATAGAATGCATTTTTATTAGTTTAAAAAAAAACTTGCCTGTTTTTTATCGACTTCAAAAGAAGAACTTCTCAATTTGTTCATTTGTTCATTCATGTTTTTGGTGTAATCGATAGGATATACTCCCGAGGTAGACCCATTACTACCAAATCACAATATGATGATGGGATCGTAGAGAAATCGAGGGAAACTCTCTAATTTTACAGCCCCGACAAAGCTTTTTTTTCTAGCTATATAGCTAGGTATTTGCGTTTAGTAGTCATTATGTCATGTTGCTGAGCTTGGATGTTGGAAGGACTTTGAACTTTAGGAGTTAGAGGATAACTCTTTCAAAAATCTTATCGTGTATTTAATTCACCAAATTTGTACCTTAACTTATTGCTGTAAATACTCATAACTTTCTTCTGTTATTGTGTTCTGTCTCGTTAATAGCTCTGAAGTAAAAAATACAAAAAAAAAAGATTAATTGAGATAAATTGAGAACCACCTTTTTTCACTACGGTTAAAAATAGTTATGGTTTAAAAAGAGTTTATGGTACGAGTAACATACGTCTGATCGATAGATACTCTATATTGCACACAAAAAGTATTGAAAAATCTAGATATATATAG